CCGGCCGAGAGCGGCCCTTGGAATCGTGTTTTCTCGGCGCCACAGGAGGGAGAGCGACGCTGAGAACTTAGGCCTGGCAGAGGCCGGGAACCAGGCAGGCGCGGGTGGGGCGAGGGGCGTAGACGCCGCAGGAGAGCGCGGCCCAGAGGCCCAGGAGGGCGCGAGCTGAGCCGGCCCGAGCCCAGCCGGCGCCTGCCACCGCTGTTTATAGTTCCCGTCGCGGCCCAAAAGACAGCGGCCACCGAGGCAGAAAGAGCCCAGCCACCCTCGTCACGGCCCGCACGCCCGCCTCACCTGGATTTGCCCACCCCACTCTCGCCGATGATGAGGATTTTCAGAGTGGTCAACACGTCCTCGTCCATCCTGACCCCACTCCGCTCCTAGCCCAGCTGGCGACCCCGGTGCGCCTCTCAGCCCTTCAGCAGGGGGAGCTGCTGCGCATGCGCGCCGCTCCACGGCTGCCACCTTCCTTTCACACCGGGTGTTCAAGCTGCCGAAGCCCTGGACGCCCCAGTTCCGCCTTGAGGTAGCTCCACGGCTGCGCAACCCAGAATTTCCGGCGTTTTTCCGGACTGCGTGTTCCTCCCCTGCGCAAGCTCTGGTGTGGAAAGCCGCGTGTGACTTCGTTGACTTCTTCATGGGATCTAGCTCCGCCCCAACCTCAACCCAACCCTCCTGTCGAGTCAGTAGTAGGACTGTCAGGAAAGTATCAAGCTGTTTTATTTCAGCAGCTGCTCATAACAGCTGCACTGCGGTGGGGAAAGCAGTGTGCTTGAAGCAGATTATCCTACATTTAGGTCCAACTCTACCTTATAACTGCCTTGTCATACTATCCAGCCGTCTGAGCCTTTCTTAATCTCAGAAAGACGCAGTAACGCTTCTTAGAACATCTGCTTCTTATTGTTACGAAGATTAAATGAGTTAATTTGTGAAGACAGATTGTTAACCAAAGTGCTCTATAAAAGGTGTGATCAGGTATTAATTTGCTGGCTTCCCCTCTGTTAGAGTGGAGAGCACCTTCCACATACTAATTATCTTGAAAGGAAGGTGTAGACTTCAGGTAGGTCAGGTGCGTATAAACTTCTGGTAGTACAACTTCAAGCCGACTCTTCCTCCTCGTAGGAACTGCTACACCCAGAGTGCAGGAAGTGTATGTCTACACCTTGCCTTCTACATTAACTTGTAAATCTTAGTGAAGGTCCCAAACCTCATTCACAGTACTTAGCACAGTACCTGGTACATGCCAGGCACTCAATAAACATCAGTTCTCTTATTTCCTTATACCTGCAGCTAATGTCATATACAATAGATATTTGATTAAATAATACATATAAATTAAATTTTGAATGTTAGGAAATTAATTTGTTAAATAGCTGGAAAAGCTCTTTCAAAAGTTATCCAAATGGCCTCACTTCCTTCAGGTCTTTGTTCAAATGTTGCACTCTTAACGAGGTCTTCCCTGTCCATTCTACTGAAATATGCAAATCCCTCCAGCATCTCTAGATGTCTTTACATTGTTTTTCTTTCTTTTTTTTTTTTTGAGACGGAGTTTCGCTCTTGTTACCCAGGCTGGAGTGCAATGGCACGATCTCGGCTCACCGCAACCTCTGCCCCCTGGGTTCAGGCAATTCTCCTGCCTCAGCCTCCTGAGTAGCTGGGATTACAGGCACACGCCACCGTGCCCAGCTAATTTTTTGTAATTTTTAGTAGAGACGGGGTTTCACCATGTTGACCAGGATGGTCTCGATCTGCTGACCTCGTGATCCACCCGCCTCGGCCTCCCAGCATAGGACTTAACCACCCTCTGATACACTATATATTTTACTACTTTGTTAGAAGTCTCACGAATGCAAGGAATTTTTGTTTTGTCTACTGGTGTGCCCTCAGTATCTAGAGTACTTCCTGGAACATAATATGTGCTAAGAAAAGATATGCTGAATGAATTAATTGAATGAATGTTGTAGAGTTCATTCCTAACCTTAGAGAGTAAAGTCAATGAAACAACCTCCACTTCTCATCAAATAGCGCTAGAAACTTCAGTCAAGTCTATCTAGCTTACTTTTCATTATGACAGCAAGACCTTATTTATTAGGTTTACAGTACCGTCAAGCTCTCCTGCTGTGGGGTTCCCAGATCCCTAGAAATCCCTGAAAACCTTTCAGGGGGTTGCAAGATCAAACTATTTTCATAATATGTTATTTTTTTCATGCACTTCTCTCATGATAATATAATGGAGTTTTCCAGAGGATATACATTAATAACATGTACTAGCAAAACAGATTGATGGAAGAATGAGTTATGTGAATTTATTGGTTTTCTATTATATTAAGCCAGATATTAAAGGGATTTCCTAAAATGTAAAACATTGCCACTGTTCTCAATTTTTAAAAACTAGTTATTTTCATAAACATTTCTATTAACTGGTAATAGGTTTACTAGTGTTTTTAAGCAAACTAACATGTTTAAAATTTTCTCAGTTTTAATTTCTCATAGGATAAATAAGAGATATAACCTTTATCTCTTTGGGGTTCTTATAATCAAAAGCTCTTCCTGGTCCTCAATAATTTGTAAGAGTATACAATAATTTGTACAACCAAAAAGTTTGAGAACCATCACCCTGTACTAGTCACACCAAGATAAATACAAAAACAAAAACTTCATCAATAAATCCAGGGCTATCTCTTGCAACCTGTGACACTGTTGATGAACTTTAGCAATATCATTTTCTCTTGGATATCTTCCATCTCTCGGCCATTTCCTCTTTTTTTTTTTTTTTTTTTTTTTTTTTTTTTTTAAAGAGTTGGGATATTGCTATGTTTCCCAGACTGGACTCAAACTCCTGGGCTCAAGGGATCCTCTTGCCTTAGCTTCCCAAGTGGCTGGGACTACAGTCACATTCCACCATGCCTGGTTTAGAGAGGAGTTCATTTCATTATTTATTTGGGTGAAAACTTAGGGATTTGAGAGAGAAGGGTTAGAAGTAAAGTCTGTGGGAGAGGTAGCTGAAATGTCATTTTGACCACTTGGGTGGGGTTTTAGCCCTACGATTAGAGGGCTCAGGGTCAAGAGCTGGAGTAGCCACTTTAGGCTTTGCAGCTTGACACAAGCAGTGCTGTCTGAGGTCCCATGGGACGGTATAGCCGGGCTTTGAAGAAGGTCATTGTTCTGTTATTTCCATTTGATTTCAGACCCATTTTCTCACCTTCTCTATTATAATCCACACAATATCACCTTCTACCAAGGAACTTATTTTACCGCAGAAGTGTGGCCGTGGGTTCATGCATGCTTTTGGACTTCACTGGTGTTATCACCAGACCACAGCACAGGAAGTAGCTGTCTGATAGACAGTGTGGGGTGGCCCAATGCCCACTCAGTTAAGGTTCCAGCAGGGAGATAATACTCTGTAAGGTTGCACTGTTGCTCTATAAGATGTAGTAAAAACCTGCAACCTGCATTTACAAAACTTAACATGGTCAATGTGTTGTACCTCATTGATAGCACATAAGTCAAAGTGATGTGTTTTTTATCAGGTTTTGGAAATTTCTCTATATTCCATGTTTCTGAGGCTTATTATGAGTAGTTGTTGAATTTGTTCAAAGGCTTTTTCTGTATCGATTGATATGAACATGTGGCCTGTTAATATGGTGAATTTTACTGTATTGATTTTTGACTATTGAACCAGCATTACATTCCTAGATAAACCCTAGTTAGTTTTGTGTACTATTCTTTATACATATTATAGGATTCAACTTGCTAATATTTTCTTAAAGATTTTTATGTCTCTGTAATCCCAGCACTTTGGGAGGCCAAGGCGGCTGGATCACAAGGTCAAGAGATCGAGACCATCCTGGTGAACATGGTGAAACCCCGTCTCTACTAAAAATACAAAAAATTAGCTGGGCATGGTGGCACGTGCCTGTAATCCCAGCTACTCAGGAGGCTGAAGCAGGAGAATTACCTGAACCCAGGAGGCCGAGGTTGCGGTGAGCCGAGATCGTGCTATTGCACTCTAGCCTGGGTAACAAGAGCGAAACTCCATCTCAACAACAACAAAAAAAAGATTTTTATGTCTATGTTTATAGGAGTTATTGATCTGTACTTTTCTTTGTCTGTATTTTCTTTTTCTTTTTTTTTAGATAGGGTCTGGCTCTGCTGCCCACGCTAGAGTGCGGTGGCGCAGTCTCAGTTCACTGCAGTCTTGAACTCCTGAGCTCAAGCGATCCTCCCACTTCAGCCTTTCTAGTAGCTAAGACCACAGGCATGCACCACCACACCTAGCTAATTTGTTTGTTTGTTTGTTTTTGTAGAGACAGGGTCTCATTATGTTGCCCAGACTGGTCTCTTGCTCCTGGCCGGAAGTGATCCTCTCACCTCCCAAAGTGCTGGGATTACAGGCATAAGTCACCACACCCAGCCTACTGTCCATTGTCTTTGTCTAGTTTTGGTATCATTGCAATGCTGACCTCATAAAGTTAGTCAGAGAGTCTTTTCTTTTCTATTTTCTAAAAGAGATTTTGGAGAATTGACCTAAACTCAAACTTAACTCTTCCTTAAATGTTTGTAAAATTTACCAGTGAAAGCTTCTGGATCTGGTGCTTTATTTTTTGGAAACTTGTTATTGATTTAATTTCTTTAGAAGTTGCATGGAATTGGCCTTATTCCTTCTTTGTATGTTTGGTAGAGTTTACTGCCAAAACTATTTGAGCCTGGAGATTTCTTTCTCAGAAAATTTTCAACTGAGAATTAATAATTTACAATAGTCGCAGGACTATTGGATTATCTATTTTAACTTGGTCAGTTTTGGTAGTTTGTGTTTTTTAGAAATTATTCTTGTTCAACTAAGCTGTCAAGTTTATGTGAGTGAAGTTGTTTATTACCCTTTTAATGTATGCAGAGTATGTAGTGATTTCCCCTATTTCTTCCCTGATGTTGATAATTTGGACTTCACACTTTTTTTGTGTGTCACTCTTGCTAGACAGCGATTTATCAAATTTATCGATCTTTTCAAAGAACCAACTTTTAGTTTTACTTACTTTTCTCATTTTTCTATTTCAATTTTATTGATATCTATTCTTATGTTTTTTATTTCCTTCTCACTGCTTGCTTTTTGTTCTTCCAGTTTTACATAAGGAAGTTCGGTTGATTTGGCATCTTTCTTCAAATAAAAGTATTTAATGACAAAATTTCCACTAAGCACTGATTTAGCTGCATCCTACAAATTTAAATATGATATATTTTTATTTATTTCATAGATTCCTGTAACTTCTCCCTCTTCCATTATGGCTGTTTTATACATTACATCTACATTCATTGAAATCCCCACCAGACATTGTAATCATCCAATGGATTCACCTTGCCTGCTGCCTAGACAGAGCCAGTTTACCAAGACAGGGGAATTGCAATGCAGAAAGAGTCATTCATGCAGAGCTGGCTGCTCCTGAGTCCAAGCAATCCTACTGTCTCAGCCTCCAGGGTAGCTGAGACTACAGGCATCTGCCACCATACCTGGCAATAATTTCTGTTAAATAAAAATGATAGGAGGTCACTTTTTTGAACTAAGCTCTTGCTCTAGGACCCAAAAGACCAGACTAAAAATCAAAATGGAGTCATCCGTGCTACAGTTCCATGTCACCAAACCCAAACTAAATTGTTATTTGACCTTCAGGGAAATCACAAGAGACATAACAGCAACCTTCAATCCATATAATAATGAAGTTCCTCTGCTTAAATCCTTACACAAAACAAGTAGCCTAAGATATCTTACACTGTTTTCCATAGTGGTTGTGCTAATTTATGTGTCCACCAGCAATAAGAGTTCCCTTTTCTCCACAGCCTTGCCAGTTTCCCTTTTCTCCACATCCTTGCAAGTGTCTGGGTTTTGTTTTGTTTTGTTTATGTCTTAATAGCCATTTAAGTGGGGTAAGATAATATCTCCTTGTGGTTTTGATTTGCATTTCCCTGATGATTTGTGATGTTTAGCATTTTTCCATGTACCTGTTAGTCATTTGTATGCCTTCTTTTGAGAAATATCATTCATGTCTTTTTCGCACTTCTTAAGGAGATTATTTGGTTTTTTTACTACTGAGTTGTTTGAGTTCCTTGTACATTCTGGATATTAGTCCCTTGTTGGATAAATAGTTTGTAAATATTTTCTTTCATTCAACAGGTTCTCTTGATTGTTTCCTTTGCTGTGCAGAAACATTTTTATTTAATATTATCCTATTTATTTATTTTTGGTTTTATGCCTGTGCTTTCAGGGTCTTAACCATAAAATCTTTCCCTACACCAATGTCCTGCAGTATTTCTCCCATGTTTTCTTCTAGTAGTTTCATAGTTTCAGGTCTTGAATTAATCTGTAATCCATCTTGAGTTGATATTTATATATGGTGAGAGACGGTTCCAGTTTCATTCCTCTGCACATGGATATACAATTTCCCTAGCACCATTTATTGAAGAGGGTGTCTTTTCCATAATATATGTTCTTGGCACTTTGGTTAAAATTCAGTTGGTTCTAAATACATGGATTTATTTCTGGGTTCTCTATTTTGTTCCATTGACGTAAGTGTCTGTTTTTATACCAATACCATGCTATTTTGGTTACTATAATCTTGTAATATGTTTTGAAGTCTGGTAGTGTGCTTCTAGCTTTATTCTTTTTCTCAGGATAGCTTTGGCTATTCAGGTACTTTTTTGATTGCACATAAACGTTAAGATTTTTATTTCTGTGAAAAAATAATACTGGTATTTTGATAGGAAATGCATTGAATCTATAGATTGCTTTGGTCAGTATGATGATTTAAACAATATTAATTCTTCCAATCCATGTGCATCAGATGTCTTGTTTGTGTCCTTTTCAATTTCTTTCATCAGTATTTAGCAGGTTTTCTTATAGAACTCTTTCACTTCCTTGGTTAAATTTATTCCTAGGTATTTATTTTATTCTGTAGTTACTGGAAATGAGATTGTTTTCTTGATTGCTTTCTTAGCTAGTTCATAATTAGTGTGTAAAAATACTACTGATTTGTATATGTTGATTTTTTAACCTGTAATTTTAGTGAATTTTTTTTTTATCAGATCTCAGAGTTTTTGGGGTGGAAAAACTGAAACTTGAACTTCTTTATGCTCCTGCAATCCCACTACTGGGTATTTATTCAAAGGAAAAGAAGTCAATATATCAAAGGGATGCCTTTGCTTTTGTATTTATTGCAGTACTATTCACAATAGCAAAGACACAGAATCAACCTACATGTCTATCAACAGATAAATGGATAAAGAAAACATGTTACATGTACACAATAGACTATTACCAGCCATAAAAAATAATGAAATTCTGTCATTTGCAGCAACATGGATGGAACTGGAGCTAATTACGTTAAGTGAAATACACCAGGCTCAAAAAGACAAGTATCAAATGTTCTCACTCATATATGGGAGCTAAAACAGTTGATCCCAAGGATGTAGAGTATAATGATAGATACCAGAGGCAAGGAAGGCTATGTGCTAGGAGTAAGGGAATAACTAGAGATTAGTTAATGGAACAAACATATATTTAGATAAAAGGAATAAGGTCTAATGATCGATAATGGAGTAGGGTGACTATAGTTAACAGCTATGTATCATATATTGCAAAATAGCTAGAAGAGACAATTTGAAATGTTCTCAAAATATGGAAATAACTACTCAAAATAATGAAGACCTGAAATGTCTTGACTTAATTATTACACATTCTGTGCATGTAACAAAATATCACGTATACCCAATAAATACATACAAATGTTATATATAATTAAAAAAATTTAAAACATATTCAAAGTAGCCTGAAGTATCCTGATATTAACTAATCAGTTATTTCTCTGTTGTTCTCTCTCCCTGTCCCAGGCTAACAACAACAAAAAAATAGCTCTGAAATGACTAATGTGCTCTTTGTTCTTTGCTTCTGTTTTCTGTAGCTCTTCTCTGTCTGTAAAGCCAACCTCTTCTTCTCAGCTCATCAGAACATTTATTCTGTTTTATGGAAGGAAGTATTACCCTAATCTAGAATTGCAGTGAAGCTAATTGAAATCTTTAAAGTTGTCGTAATTTTAATCTTTGATATTTCAAAATCTGCATCATCTCAGCACTGGAATCTGCTTATTGTCTTTTTAAGTTGTCCCTGAGTAAACTGAATAATTTTGGATTATATTCTGAACAGTTTACATATTGTGTTATGAGACTTTGAATCTTATTTAAACCCTATGCAGAATGTTGACATTTTGTTTAAGCATGGAGCATACCTGACTGGGTTCAGGAAACAAATTTCAACCTACCTTTTCAATTTCCAACAGTTTTGCAGGGCTATTGGATCTATCCAATGTGTACACTACCCAGTGGCCAATTTGGCATAAGAGCAGTCATCTTTGGTATGCTGAATAGGATCAGACCCAATTGTGTGATCTTGGTAATTAATCCTTGATAGTTACCCCTGCTCTGCCATGAATGTTTATAACTGAGCCCATGTCCATGGGTTCAGTCATGATAGAGTCAGGAGGCAGACAAATCCAAGACAGACAGGGGCAGTTCCCAGTGGAAACCCAACCTTCAAGCCAAAGACAGTCTCGGGTAAATCCTCAGACCATATTGAGAACCTCTCTTCCCATTTGGCATACTTTCCTCTGATTGATTTCCATCCTTCACCTGTTTTAGATAAACCTACCCTTTCCTAATTGGTTTTCTACACTGCTGTGCCCACCTTTGAGTGGTGCCTTTGTTTTAGTTTTTTTTTTTTTGCATACTCACAAACCTCCCCATTCTGAGCCCATAAAAGCCCCAGACCCAGCAACACTGAGAGAAATACCACCCAACTTTGGATGAAGGATCACTCTTACATTCCCTATCTGCTGAGAGCTGTTTCATTGCTCAGTAAAATTATTCTCCACCCTTCTCACCCTTCAATTGTCAGAGTAACCTCATTCTTCTTGGATGTGGGAAAAGAACTCAGGACCCAACAAATAGAGGTACAAAGAAGGCTATAATACTGTGGCCCTCTGCCCTCCACCATCAACTCAATTATATTTTCAAAGGAGTATCTATTTAGGAATAGGCTACCTCTCCCTCCCCCAAACCAACAATGAGCCAACCCAGCACCATATCAAAATCTCTTGCCCTGCTGTTCTCATGTAAGGGTACTCATGGCAAGCATGCCTATAACTCCAGTGCACAAGGAGGTGTTGGCAAATACATACCATGGGAAGTCTAGGCCCCTACCTAACTCTCTTATTTACAGCACTTGGAGAGTCAGGGCTTCTCTACTCACAGTGCCAGGGTTTCTCAGTGAATTATAGATCAGGCCAGTTGGCTAGAATCTGCTTCCAGCTTCACTCCTGCCAGCCCCATTGCCTAGGGGCTGTGTCCTGTTCTTTTTCTCTAGTTTTGGGATAATTCTTAGAACAACCTGGCTCTGTTTCTAACATTCTCACTGCTCCTGTTTCAAAGCATGCTTGTATCCTTGTCTTTTAGATTAGGTTCTCCTTGCTGATAAACTGAACTGAATCTGTTCACGTCTGTTAGTTTTGGTCTTTTGTTGATAGGACAATTCTCCCACTTTCTGTTTATGATACTTTTGTATCTGCCCTTTTCCTTAATGCATTGACTAGCATATTAGAAAAAATAAAATAACAGTGACAATAACATGCATCACTTTTTCCCCCTAATTTTAATGAGAATATCTGTAGAGCTTCACCTATGGTTTGTCATTTCTGATAAGTTATTAATCCAATGTATTGTGTTGGATTTTGAAATGGATTTGTTATATTATCCTATTCTATCCTAAGATTCATCTTGATGCATCTTGGTAATTCTTTCCTTTATATACTGTTAAATTATATTTTCTGACATTTTACTTATGAGTTTTCATATGTAGACATATTCCCAAGGTGATACCAATTTATATTTCCCTTTAAGTCACTGTCACTTAGATACAGGAGAGCACAGCAGGCATTATTTTAAGATAATCATTGATATAGTGTACACACAATTCTTTATGGAAGGCTAAATAGCTATTGTTTCCTATTACCCCAAATCTATTTATCCTGGTTCAGTTAACACACTCCCGTTTTCCTTGGGAGACATCTCTCTTAATGTCTGTTGAAAGAAGCTAATCTCCTATCTCACCAATTCCAGAGGGTGCCCATCAAAAAGGTCCAGCTAATCAGCTCACTCCCTGCATAAAAATGATGTAATTCAAGGATGGGTACATTATTCAATGGGGTGAAATTCTAGGACTCTTACAGAAACTTTGAGAAGAGAGAAACCCAGTTTGCAAGAGATGCCAACAGGTTAAGATAGGGCCCTGGAGGTATTAGGAGACCTCTAGCTATTGAGAACAAAGAACCTAAATAAGAATCACATCTAGAAAGAAAAAAGTAGCTCCAAAAGCTGGAGACAGCTCCTGATACCACCACTGGATTCCCTGGATTGAGTCAGACTCACAGCCAGATACACATAGATCTTTCTGTGAGATGAGCCAGTGGATTCCCTTTTTAAAGAAAATTATGAAATATTTTAAACATATACATCTGTGGAGAATAATGTGAATAACGAGTTTTATCAAATTTATTAAGCATCAAATATTATGTGTTGTTAATGTGAAGCACTAAACATTAAAGACAGGATCAAGACCCCCCCTGTGTGCTTCTCCCTGATCCAATCTATTATTTTCCTCTCACCCAGACACAGTTGGTGTGGTTTGGCTTTGTCCCCATTCAAACCTCAACTTGAATTGTATTTCCCAGGATTCCCACATGTTATATGGAGGGACTCAGTGGGAGGTAACTGAATCATGTGGGCAAGTCTTTCCCATTTTATTCTAATGATAGTGAATAAGTCTCACGAGATCTGATGGGTTTATCAGGGGTTTCTGCTTTTGCTTCTCCCTCATTTTCTCTTGCTGCCATGATATAAGAAGTGCCTTTCACCTCCCACCATGATTCTGAGGACTCCCAGCCATGTGGAACTGTAAGTACAATTAAACCTTGATTTCTTCTCAGTCTCAGGTATGTCTTTACCAGCAGTGTGAAATGGACTAATACAATAATTATTGTCATAAATTCAGTACTTGCCATGCCCATACATGATGTTATATTTTTACCTGCCTATTTATGCATCCTCAAACTTACATAATTTTAAACTTTATTATTTTATCCAAACATACAATTACTTCTACAACTTGCCTTTTTCATCCAGGGGGTTTAACTATGTTTTGGATGTTTAACTATGTTGAGATATGTGCTGTAGTTAATTTAAAGTGCTGTATTCTATGGCCATAATCAAAAAATGGTAGATGTTGGCATGGATGCAGTGAACAGGGAACATTTCTACACTGCTGGTGGGAATGTAAACTAGTACGACCACTATGGAAAACAGTGTGGAGATTCCTTTAAAAACTAAAAGTAGAACTACCATTTGATCCAGCAATCCCATTACTGGGTTTCCACCCAGAGGAAAAGAAATCATCATACAAAAAAGATACTTGCATGCACATGTTTATAGCAGGACAATTTGCAATTGTAAAAACGTGGAACCAACCCAGGTGCCCATCAATCAATGAGTGGATAAAGAAACTGTGGTGTATATATGTGATGAAATACTACTCAGTCATAAAAAGGAATGAATTAATGGCATTTGCAGCAACCTAGATGAGATTGGAAACTATTATTCTAAGTAAAGTAACTTGTATGATAATCAAACATCGTATGTTCTCATAAGCTATGAGGATGCAAAGGCATAAGAATGACTTTGGGGACTCAGGGAGGAAGAGTGGGAAGGGGGTAAGGAATAAAAGACTACAAAGAGTGCGCAATATATACTGCCTGGGTGAGGGGTGCACCAAAATCTCACAAATCACCCCTAAAGAACTTATGTAACCAAACACCACCTGATCCCCAATTACCAATGGACATAAAAAAATTAAAAATAAAACTAAAAATAACAAAGCTTTCTATATTCCACAAAGCTGTGTGTTCATCAGTTCTTTCACTCTCTGGTATTTCTGTAGGTGATCAAAATATGCAACCCCAAAATATACCACTTTGGCATATGGATTATTTTGAGCCAAAAACATTTGAGATCTAACAGCTGCACAAAGAATCCTTCCCATAGCTAAAACCAGAAGCTTCCCAGAAATGAAGATTGCTGTAAGTCCCCTTTCCTGGAGAAGTTTTATGGCCTTGAAGAAGATGAAAAATGGGTGTCAAGATGAACCTTCACAAACAAATCCTGTTCCATTTGCTTCCCCATATATTTACCTTCCCATAATTTTCAGACCTTGAAAGCCTAAAGCCTCTTCCTTTCTTTTCTCCATAAATTTATTGTCCTTTGTTAAGATGTTATATAAGCCCAGATTCTAACCACCCCTTTGAGTTACTTATCACTGGGTTTCTCTTGCATGTATGCATGCTGTACATGTTAATAAACTATGTTTTCTTCTCGTTAATCTGTATTTTATCAGTCTAATTCACAGGTCCCCAGTTAGAGAATGTAGGAAGGTAAAGAAAATTAAGAGTTTCTTCCTCTCCTACATTTCCAATATTTTGCCAGTATACTCTCTTTTCCTTTAAGCCAGATTAAATTTGGGTTCCCCTTACTTGCCAACCAAAGAGTCCTTATTGGTCCATTCAGAAAATCTCTAAAAACTCCCAATATTACTCGCCCTTCAAGGAGCCTAAAATCCTTGACATTACCGTCAGTCCTAGCTATGGCATTGTATTTGTAAAACTCTCACAAATTGAAGGTATTATCCAGGAAGAACCAAAGATGAACTCATCATATTTTACACAGAGCATAGAACTGTTGCTAATTAGGAGATAGGCAGCTATCTCCAAAAAGAAGACAGGGCTCTGGATGGAGAACAATAGATAACTACTTTCATATGAGACTTTGAAGGAGGAGGACAGGCCTGAGCTGCATGATAACTGGGGAAGACTTGGGGAATCCAAGGTTGGGATAAGAGCACCAAGCATTTAAGAAGAGTTAATGTCTTTACCTTAGAAAGGAGACATGAAGTATCAGCATTGCTTATTAAAGGTAGCAGCATCTAATTGGACAATTTCAAATCTTCATTCAGTCATTTACTATCTGAATGATGAGGCAAGTCATTCAAGTTTTTGAGCCTCAATTTATTTATTTGTAAAATGGAATGAATTATACCTACATTTAAGGGTTGATTGCATTATTTAACACAATTAATATATAATTTCTAGAAACTAGCACCTCTTCAATAGATAATGATTATTATCATTATCATTAATTTAGCCAGTCCCATCAAAGATAGTTAAATCAATTACAGGGATTCAATGACAGGGTTGCACTATGAAGGGCTGACTTGAGAACCTGGGTTCAAAGCCGGTGCTAAAAGGTAAGAAGTTTATCAGAAAGTTTAGTTTTTCTTCTAGCAAAGGTGACCCAAAGAAGGCACAATTTAGTGCTAGAGAAGACTAAGCTTATCCTGGGAGTGGATGCTAATGATCAGATCTCCATCCAAGGTGATCTGATCATTCTTGCCCAGTGCTGAACAGAAGTAAATTGGGATATAATAGAAGTGTTCTGCCAGTTTCTAACAACTAAAGGATAGTCTTATTGTGAAAAAAAAATGGTGCCCTATCCAATGTTTAAGAGGTAGAGAATCAAGCTCGAAATAAATTTGATCTTCTTGAAAATGTAGTTCTCTCAGAGTTGCTGACATGTCTAAAACTGAGATGGAAGGGAGCTTCAAGGAGAGGGTGAGAAGTTTTAATGTTTTTCAACCTGAGTCACACTTTAGTAACACCTGGAACTTAAAGCTGTTGATGTTGGATGCCATCCCTCAAGAAAGTCCCATGCCTTTTTTAAAGCATGAGTTTTAAAAAAAATATTTAGATAATTCTAATATGCTGCCAAAGATGAGATCCAATGGGTAGAGAATTCCTTGTTCTGGATGCTGGTGACACGGGTATGTTCAGTTTATTAAAATACGTGTGTATACTTATGGATTGTGTACTTTTCAATATGTATTTTACACTTTAGTACAGAGTATGACAAACATTAAAAACTGAGTAACCACTGCTTCCTTTCAGTATGTATATGGAGGACGGCTAGATGATTCTTATCAATGGGAAAAATAAATGTCCATATTAAATTCTTTTACTTACAGAGCTTGGGAGGAGTTACACAAGGAAAGGATTACAGAAGAAAGAAGGAAATTGCAAAGTGTTTGCCAGTTCTTCAGTACTACCCAGGGGTAAACAGGTGGTCTGGCAAAGTGATGAATGTGTTTTCAAACATGCAGGTGGACAGACCTCAGCATGAGGAAGGAGCAGACAACTCTACCCTATAATTAAATAGATTCTAATTTAGGAGAGAGCTAAAGGTAAGGGGCCTGGACAATCAGGGAATAAGAGGGGATACTGAGAGAAAGGATTGCTTAGGCTATGTGATGGCAGATTGCAGCTTGGGAAAAGATGGCCATACAGATTGGAAACACGTTCTGAAGATGTGATAGCTAGAGAACTTTTAAGAAAAGAGGAATCTAATATGTAATTTCAAATTTGTTTACGTGGCTGCAATGAAAACCCCATTCATTGATTCAGACCCTTGGTAACATCTACTATCTTAGCTACCCTGCTACCCACCTGTTTTATTTATTTATTTATTTATTTATCTTATTGATTTATTTTGAGACAGGGTCTCACTCTGTCACCCAAGCTGGAATGCAGTGGTGTGATCTCGGCTCACTGAAGCCTCTGCCTCCTGGGTTCAAGCAACACTTCTGCCTTAGCCTCCTAAGTAGCTGGGATTACAGGCAGGCACCACCATGCCCAACTAATTTTTGAATTTTTAGTAGAGATGGGGCTTCACCATGTTGCTCAGGCTGGTCTTGGACTTCTCACCGCAGGTGATCCACCTACCCTGGCCTCCCAAAGTGCTGGGAATATAGGCGTGAGCCACTGCACCTGGCCCCCACCTGCTTTACAATATGCCTAGGTACAAACCAGACAGAGATGGAAGAATACCATAGCTTAGTTAGCCAGAGAAAACTAAGTTGATTCGGTTATTTTAGCTTCAATTTTCTTTTAATGATGATACATGCTGTGCTGATCTGGGCCAGACACTGAAACTGTAAAATGGAAAAATGTGACACCCTTGTAAAAAATGACCATGGCTCTCCTGATATGGCTAATTCTGACACATAGTTCATAATTGCTACTTGTCCCAGCTGTGATGTGGGTTAAAGAGTAGTAAAACTTGAAGTCAGATGATAGGCTGTATTCTTGGGAAAGCTACTTAACTTTTTTTTTTTTTTTTTTTTTTTGAGACAGAGTCTTACTCTGTTGCCCAGGTTGGAGTGCAGTGGCTCTATCTTAGCTTATTACAACCTCCACCTCCCAGGTTGAAGTGATTCTCTTGCCTCAGCCTTCCAAGGAGCTGCGATTACAGGTGCCCATCACCACATCTGGCTAATTTAAAAAATATATTTTTAGTAGAGACAGGATTTCACCGTGTTTGCCAGGCTGGTCTTGAACTCCTGACCTCAAGTGATCAGCCCACCTTGGCCTCCCAATATGTTGGGATGACAGGCATGAGCCACCGTGCTCAACTACTTAACATTTCTAAGTTTGTTTTCTCTTGTGTAAAATTTGGGAAAATAACTTTCACACGGAGATTCTGTGAGACCTAAATGAAAGGATGTATTTGAAGCCAGTCCTTTATCAGACAGTATATAGTAAATACTCAACAAATATTAACTCTTTTTCTTTTTTCTCATCCATATTAAGGTATATAGAAATCTTTTATAAATTACAAAGTGGCATACAAATGATTGTTTTAAAAAATTAGTGATAACTAAAATTTGTTGACTAATTATTTGCAAAGCAGATTCCTTCCTAACAATTAATTTCAAGAAGTAGAAAGTATTTTCGTACCATAAGTTAAATTAATGGTTTTAGTGCAGTGATTTTTAACTGGGAGCAATTTGGCCTCCCAGGGGTCATTTAGCAATGTCTGGGGACATTCCAGTAATCACAGCTTGGGGAATTCTTCTGTCCTCTAATAAGGACAGGAGAGAGACGCTGTTAAATATCGTACAATACACAGGACAGGCTCCCACAACAAAGAATTATCCAGCTCAAAATGTGAATGGCCCCACTGTTGAGAAACAGTTTTGGTGACAAGACAAGATAATCCAGTTAGTCTTGATTATCAATATTGTTGAGTGCTTACACACACATCAACATCTCTTAACCTTAAAGTTCCCTTCCTTAGCCTGTGAACCCTCAAAAAGAATGAGAAAATTCACTTCTAAGGTGACCCTGTTCTTAGATGTTCAGGAATATCAACCATGAGCCTGTAATATCAATGCAAAGCTTGTGTACTTCCCCAGGAAAGTTGAGAGATCTCTCTCACTAGAACTCTCCTCCACACCCCATTAAAAGGTGCATTATATTTTGTACAGTGTTAGCACCTTTAAAACCTGTACAGTCCTGCCTGTCTTAAGCAGTAAACCAAATTCCACAGTACTAAGCTCATTTTATGATTCAACAATGTGGATGGAGCTCTTTCCGGTAGAGAAGGTAATTGCTTCAGAATAAGAACCTGCCTTCACAGCAGTCCTGAATCTTAATTTTAGAAATCAGAATGAGATGATTCAGAGCTAGTGAAAAGATTGTTCAGAATCATTTCTGTTATTGCTTAGTAAATGTTCTTCCCGGCTATGAATCTAACAGAGGGTGGAGCTAGGAACCTGGGGCAATGAAACTATTGGTATTGTGCTGTTCAGCTTCTTCGTCTCCCACCATCCAGGCTACTCCTGCTGCCGTCTTATCCTTGGCTCCGTGATAGAACCCAGAGGTCCTACAACAAAGTCAGTGCTGGGTCAAGGGCAAAGGATGCTGGGAAAGCTGTGTGTAACAAGCAGCAGAGTTGTTCTAGAATGAGGTGATAATTATTCTATAATTTATTTTCACAACACATTTCTTTTGGAGTGTGTGTGTGTGTGTGTGTGTGTGTGTGTGTGTGTGTGTGTGTTTTGGAGAAAAAGTCTCACTTCATGGCCCAGGCATGAGTGTAATGACATGATCTAGGTGCAGGGCAACCTCTGCCTCCTGGGTTCAAGCAATTCTCCTGCCTCAGCCTCCCTAGTAGCTGGGACTACAGAGATGCACCACCACATCTGGCTGATTTTTGTATTTTTCATAGAGACAAAGTTTCACCATGTTGACCAGGCTGGTCTCAAACTCTTGACCTCAGGTGATCCGCCTGCCTTGGTCTCCCAAATTGCTGGGATTACAGGCTTGAGCCAATGCACTCAGCCCAACACATAACTTATTTGGTCTTTCCAACAACCCAACAATGTAAATAAAATACATATCTTTATCCCTAGTTTACAAATTAAAAGAAAACAAACCCTATAAAGGTTAAATGTCTTACATTAAATCCTACAACTATTAAGTATCTAGAGAGCCAGATGCGGTGGCTCATACCTGTAATCCCAACTTTTTGGGAGGCTGAGGTGGGAGGATCACTTGAGCCCAGGAGTTCAAAGCCAGCCTGAGCAGCATAGGAAGATCCTGTCTTTCCAAAAAAAAAAAAAAAACTTTAATTAGGTGAGCCTGGTTCCAGCTACTCAAGAGGCTGAGATAGAAATATCGCTTGAACCCTGGAGTTTGAGACTGCCATGAGCTATATGATTACACCTCTGCTCTCCAGCTTGGGCAATAGAACAAGACCCTGTCCCCCCCGCAAAAAAAAAAAAAAGTATCTAGCACCCAAGCCTTCTGTGATGGTAAATACCGAGTGTCAACTTGATTATATTGAAGGATAAAAAGTATTGTTCCTCAGTGTATCTTTGAGGGTGTTGCCAAAGGAAATTAACATTTGAGTCAGTGGACTGGGAGAGGCAGACCCACCCTCAGTCTTAGTGGGCACCATCTAATCAGCTGCCAGCATGGCTAGAATAAAGCAGGCAGGAGAAGATGGAAGAGCAGACTTTGTAAGTCTTACGGCCTTCATCTTTTTCCCATGCTGAATATTTCCTGCTCTCAAACACCAACTCCAAGTTCTTCAGCTTTTCGACTCTTGGACCTACACCAGTGGTTTACCAGGGACTCTTGGGCCTTTGGCCACAGACTGAAGGCTGCACTGTTAGTGTCCCTACTTTTGAGGTTTTTGCACTCAGACTGATCCACCACTGGCCTCCTTGCTTTTCAACTTGCAGATGGCCTATCGTAGGACTTTACCATGCGATCATGTGAGTCAAATCTGAATAAACTCCCTTTCATATGTATATCCTATTAGTTCTCTCCCTCTAGAGAACACTAATACACCTTCCAAATCCTAAGAGTTCTTTACACTTAGAGTACATGAAAATATAGTTTGTGGTCCTTTCCTTCCAGTTCTCTCCATTTGCTTCCCTTTTCTCTGTTGCAGGAATGCAAAAGAAAACTGGAGATACTGCCCTGTTATAACCCGACCTGCAGACTCCAGAAAAGGTGCAGAAATCCTTGACTTATCCTGCTGGTATTCTCCAAATCAAAGAGTATCTGCCCTACAGAAATGCCTATGGGAAATCATTCATTTCCTAAAAATGCATTTTCATAACATAATTAATCATCCTGGACAGATTTTTCAAAATTAGTCATTATTTGTTCTTGCCTAATTTCACCTATTACTCTAATTTAAATCATATTACTGTGATTTAATGTGCTTTTCTTCAAGATTATTATTTTAAACATTTGAAGTCAGCCTGTTCCAAATTAGCAATGTCATGACCTGAATGAATGTACTTATTTCCTCTTAGCTATTCATTCTTCCTTGAAAGGATCTTTCAGTTCCCTCAACTTCCTCTTATTTGAATATTCACCGTAATTGTGTTCATACAGAACATAAGGACCTTTTTTCCCTTTCTGAGAAGGTAGCACCATCCTTTTTCCAGTTATAAGAAGTTTTAATGAGGGTTTTAGTGTGTGTATGTAGAGAGTTAATTTTATTTTTATTTTTTATTCTTAGAGGAGTTAAAATTTGACAGCCAACTCTTAGTATTACTAAAACTTAGACATCTTTTTAAAAATCAGTCTCTGTCAATCACACACAAACATACATATATAGCTACAAAATTGTAGCTTGTCTCTAGAACTGTGAAGGACAAAACCAAGAATGAAGTATTCATATAGCAGAGGATGGGCCCTGAGTTCAGAATATGTACCTTGTAACTTCTGTAAACAAAACCCAAAATTATATTGTTATTCCTTTTTGCTACTGTACTTTGAAAATTCATAACTTCAAAGGCATAGTAAAACTCTGAGTGAGCAGATGTGACTCATTCACTTCTCCATAACAAGGGAGGCTTCAGCTGGGAAAACAGAAATATTCTGTTCTGGTATCTTCCATCTCTAGGCGAAAACTTTAAAATTATTTTGAAGTCATTATGAATGTAGGAAAATTCAGCACAGATAAAGAAGGGTGAGGATGTCACCGGAAAAGACAGGTAGTGCTTGAGCTCACTAGCCCTTTTGTATGTCCATCCAGGTCTACTTTGAACTATACCATCCTGACTTCTCTTCTTGTAACTAAATGTTGAGTTTCTCATCTTCAATTCCTTTTCTTTAAGCAGTAAAAACTTTATTGTTACTGGTAATTCCTGCTTCAGTGAGCAAGTTTACTGGGACCACACATGCCAAACCAAAAATCAGTCTCTCTGGATCACGTGCAAACATACATTTTTTATTGTGAAATATTATTCACATATAAAATGTACATGTATAGTTTAACAATTAGTTGAAGAAACATAAATTTGGTGCAACCATCATGTAGGTCACATAATGGACATTTTCTAGCACTGCAGCAACTGACCAGTGCAGTCCTTCCCTACTCCCAACCCATCTACCCATTTAAGGTCAAGTTGCTATCCCAACTTATACGAATCATTTCCTGCTTTTTTTAATATATAGTTTTACCATACATACTTTGTTTTCTAAAAATTTTAATAAGATACATCCATATTTTGTGCAACTTTAATGCATCCAAATTCATTGCTGTATTAGATTCTACTTTATAAAAATACCACAATTTGTCCTTTCTGCTGATAATAACCACGTGCATTGTTTGCAGTTTGGGGCAATTTTATCAGCACTACTGTGAACATGCTTGTACATGTATCTAGGGTATTCCTTGAAGAAAAGCTTCTGAGCCATAGGGTGGGCATACTTTAAACATTACCCATATAGCATTAAACCATCTCCCAAAGCAGTGATACCAGTTTAAACTCTTACCATTGTACATTTGAGTTCTTGCAGTCCCACATTCTGGCCAACTCTTGGTATGGTGAGGTCTCACATTTTTTTTCAATCAAATGGTTTAAAGAAAGGTGCCATGCAACTTTTCTGTCAATACAAAATTATTTACCAAAATGTCTTTGATGGTCAGTCTCGACTACCATTTTCAACAAGTAAGCTCCACATACCAAATGTTTAGATATTTAAAAGGTATTCCAAGCCAATAAACAGGGAAATTCAAAAGTCACCTATATGATGATATTGTAAGAGTATCTCACTGCGATTTTAATTTGTGTTTCTCTGATCACTAATGAGATCACTATTGAGCCCCTTTCCTGCCTAGTGGCCATTTAGGTTTCCCCTTTTGTGAAGTGTCTGTTCAAGGGTCTTTTGCCCATTTTTAGCATTCTCTATGTTTTTTCCATCATAGATGTTCTCTAAATGTTTGAAATACCACTCCTCTTGTCAGTTATACAGTCAAAGATGTCTTCTCCAATACTTTTCCCATATTTTCACCTATTTTATGATGTATTTAGAAATTTTTCATTTCAATGTAAAAAGTAATGAAATGTGGCCTATGATTGAACAAAGAAACGGTCTATAAAAGCAAACCCAGAGATGGCTCAGATATTGAATTTATCAGACAGGGACTTTAAAATTACTGTACTAGGCCAGGCACAATGGCTCACACCTGTAATCCCAGCACTTTGGGAGGCCAAGGTGGGCAGATCACAAGATCAGGAGTTCAAGACCAACCTGGCCAAGTTGGTGAAACCCCATCTCCATAAAAATAAAAATAAAAATGAATAAATAATAACTATAATAAATAAGTCAAAGGATCTAGTTGGTAAAAATGGACACCCAGAATAAAACAGGTGGGCAATATCCACAGAGAGTTGGAAATGATTTCAAAAAATTGAAATGTAGAAATAATAAGTACAGTAATAGCCATGAGAATCATTCAGTGGACTTAGCAGACTGGCCATAACAGAAGTAAAAACAGTTGGTGAGCTTATAGACAAGTCAACTGAAATTATCTAAATTAACCTAAACAGAGGTGGGGGTGGGGAAGAAGGTAAAAGAAAAACAGTCTGTATTCTGTGGGACAATAACAATAGTGGCCTAACATTGTACATGTCTTTAGAGCTTCAGAAGGAAAAGTGAGAGAGTGGAACATGGGAAAAATTGGAAGCAGTAATGATTAAGAAATTTCTTTTCTTTTTTCTTTTCTTTTTTTTTTTTTTTTTTTTTGAGACAGAGTCTCACTCCATTGGCCAGGCTAAAGTGCAGTAATGTGATCTCAGCTCACTGCAACCTCCGCCTCCTGGGTTCAAGCAATTCTCCTGCCTCAGCCTCCCAAGTAGCAGGGATTATAGGCATGTGCCACGACATCCAGCCTATTTTTGTATTTTTAGTAGAGATAGGGTTTCACATGTGGCCAGACTGGTCTCAAACTTCTGACCTCAAGTGATCTGCCCGCCTAAGCCTTCCTAAGTACTGGGATTACAGGCATGAGCCACTGCACCCAGCCGTATCAGGAGTTTTAGAATCAGAATAGACACAGAGAAGAGCAGTTACAGAGGGGCCAGCGTTGGGTCAGTGGAGAAGGGCTTGACTTTGGCCAGCTTATAAGGGAGCTGTATATAGCAAAAAGAAGGCTGAATGCCTCTTTGAGGCTGTAGGTCAAGAGAGCTCCTTGTTCTGTTCTGCAGCCAGGCTAGGTGAGTCAAAGCCTTTTTCTTTCTTTATCCCTGTTATTCTTGCTGCTCTCGTTTATAATTCACAGCACATATAGTCCCAGAACATTCCCTTTGCCCCCTTCCAATGATAGCATAGTGGAAATTGTGGGAACTGTCTTCAATTTTGCAGACGTTTCTCCCCCTTAGTTTCCAGTTTTGTTTCCAGTTTTTGTCCTTTTGTATATCTTCTTGGGTAATCTAATGGGAAAGTTGGAGAGGTCCCATCAGGCACATCTAGCCTGCTTTTCTTCACAACTTTTTATTATTTAAATTTTCATTTAGACAGGGATGTGGGAAGAATTTTACAGGGAACATTCATATACCCACCAAATAATTCTACCTGAAGTATTATTTTAACTTATTAACAATAAATTTTAACTTGTATACATGCTTTATAATAAATTTTAGTTTAATTCAAGCAGATTCTTATCATGCACATTCTCAGGACCTATAAGCCTTAGATAGACTTTAAAATATTAATCATAAAAAAATTAACTAGAGAAACAGAACTGGACTATAGGTCATTGGACTATAAATGATATGTCTGCTTTATATTAATATATAGAGAATTGAAGCAATCATTTTAATAACTCCTGTTTTAAAATTTTTTCTGATGGTTTGCTTAATAATTTTTTACAACTGTCCACTTCATTCCATAGATTAAAAACTGGTGATACGAGTTGAAAAGAGAAATAAAGTGATCCTGACATCAGTTTGGGCCCATATTTTTCCATGTAAAAATTTACCTAAAAATCAGGCCAGGCACGGTGGCTCATGCCTATAATCCCAGCACTTTGGGAGGCCGAGGCAGGTGGATCACGAGGTCAAGAGATCGAGACCATCCTGGTCAACATGGTGAAACCCCGTCTCTACTAAAAATACAAAAAATTAGCTGGGCACGGTAGTGCGTGCCTGTAATCCCAGCTACTCAGGAGGCTGAGGGAGGAGAATTGCCTGAACCCAGGAGGCGGAGATTGCGGTGAGCCGAGATCGCGACATTGCACTCCAGCCTGGGTAACAAGAGTGAAACTCCGTCTCAAAAAAAAAAATCAGCCAGCTATAGTGGCTCATACCTGTAATCCCAGCACTTTGGGAGGCCAAGGTGGGAGGACTGTTTGAGCCCAAGAGTTTGAGACGAGACCAGCCTCGGCAACATGGCAAAACCTTGTCTCTACAAAAAATACAAATAGTTGGCCATAGTGGCGTGCACCTGTGATCCCAGCTTCTCAGTAGTCTTAGGTGAAAGGATTGATTGACCCCAGGAGGTCAAGGCTGCAGTGAGCTATGATCATGCCGGTGCACTCCAGCCTGGGTGACAGAATAAGACCCTGTCTCAAAAAAATAAACAAATAAAATATAAATCAATCTTGAAATTCATGGGATCTCCTTTGGTAGATTTTTTTTTCAGATGGAGTCTCGCTCTGTCACCCAGACTGGAGTGCAAAGGTACAATCTCAGCTCACTGCAACTTCTGTCTTCCAGGTTAAAGCTATTCTCCTGTCTCAGCCTCCCAAGTAGCTGGGATTACAGGCACATGCCGCCATGCTCTGCTTTTTTTTTTTTTTTTTTGGTATTTTATTACAGATGGGGTTTCACAGTGTTGCCCAGGCTGATCTCGAACTCCTGAGCTCAGACAATCCACCTGCCTGCCTCAGCCTCCCAAAGTGCTAGAATTACAGGCATGAGCCACTGCACCCAGCCAATAATTTTTAAGGATATTATATAGTCACATAGTCTCATGGCAGATGATGAAGACAACAATGAGAAGATTCTTCTTGGTTTGTGATTCATCATTTTCCAGTCCTTTATGACTTGAGAGAAAACAACAGTAGCAGCAGCAAGTGGATTTACTTCTTGTGAAGCCCAAGGATGGCTTCAAAATTCTTTAAAAGGAGTGCTTAAATCCCAATTTTCTTAAGAAGGGTATGTGTTAGCAAAACCTTGGATGTAATGTTCCTATACTTTACATGATTTCCCTTGTAATATAGCATTTGAAACATCCCAGCCAAGGGACCACAAAGCAATCTTACTCCTATATGACAATTCCCCACATATTGTTATATAAAAAACAAAAATGCATGTCCCTGGCACACTTTACAAAAGTTTTCCTGCAAATCAAAGCCAAAAGTTTGGACTGAGCCAAAGTGAGTTTCAATTTGAATCACCACCCACCTGGGCCTGCCTCAGGCTGGCAGTCCAAAGGGAAAATATTGCCTAAGTGTATTACCAGCCTCTGGTCTGTCCCCTTCACAGGTGTAGAGAACCAAAATTAATCAGGAGAGGTGACAAGGCAAATTTGACTGGAGATGAATTCTGGGAGGCAGCAGCATTTAGAGTAGCCCAGCCATTTGGCAAGGAGTAAGCAGAAATGACTTTTGAGTGGAACAGTTTGAGAAAGAACAAGGTTGTTCATGACTCCAAACTGTTGCCAGAACTTGCTGAAGCCTTTTTAGCTAGAAATGCTTTCAAGACAAGCCTTTTCCTACTGGAGAAGCTTAAGACCTGAAAGCGAGCCATATTTTGCTATGATGAAACTTCACAATATGTAGAATGTTAAAACATAGACTCAGGTTCAAAAATTTGCTTAAAACAAAAAGAAACCAGAATTGATCTGTTGTTGATGCCAGAGATCCCTTTCAAATCTAGTTTTTATATACTATCCTTTTCCAAATTAATTTTCAGTAAAAGCAACGTTAGTTTTATTAGACAATTATTGTTCTTTCATTTTTCCCATCAACCAGATTTTGCCAGGTAAGTAAATGGTGTTAGTTGGCTGAGTCTTTCTAGCTTTAAATATCTTGAACTCTCAAGTCTCTAGGATACTATTCATTAAGAGCAGGTATTAATTATTCTCCACCCACAGACCTAGCAATGTGGTGGGTCTCCTAAAGTTGGTGAAGAGAAGTTGCTGGTGTTGTACACCTTCTGGGTTGACTCATGAACCCAGAAGCCTGGGAGACTATATTGGCCGCTCTTGGGGGTTTTATAGATGTGACTGTTTGCAGAACCATGATAGAGTTTCCATCTGCTGCACTTAGTGGCTGGGTAGATTGGGACAAGTTACCTAATCTCTAAGGCCCATTTCCTCATCTGTAAAATGGGGCTCATAGTAGTGCCTACATCATTGAACCATTTTTAGGATTAAGTGTTAAAAATACAGAGTGCAAAGTAAATGCTAAACATATGTTAGCCATTTTTATCAGATGTGTGTGTGTGCACGTCTGTGTGTCTGTGTATGACTCAAGTAACTCCATTAAGACTCATTTTTCTTTTTGCCAGCAGGATTTCATTGTCTGCTTGAGTCAGGAATATTATGTTTTTAAACTTCTCTCATGATTGTGAAAAGATCACAAAAAAGAAGCAGCAAACTGGCCAGGCTTGGTGGTTCACGTCTGTAATCCTAGCACTGTGTGAGACTGAGACAGGCAGATCACTTGAGGTCAGGAGTTCGAGACCAGCCTGGGCAACAAGGTGAAACTCTGTCTCTACTAAAAATACAAAACTAAGCCAGGCAGATGGCGGGCACCTGTAGTCTCAGCTGCTCTGGAAACTGAGGCAGGAGAACTGCTTGAACCCAGGAGGTGGAAGTTGCAGTGAGTCAAGATCACATCACTGCACTCCAGCCTGGGTGACAAAGTGAGACCTCATCTCAAAAACAAACAACAAAAGAAGCAGCAAACTGTTAACTAAGGCAGAGGAAGAACAGGAATCCCTGGGAATTGCCACTCCCAATGTCTTTTTCAGATCCCATCACCAGTGGCTTTATCAGAGGAGGAGAAAGCACTTTTGGGAGGCCTCTATGAAGCAGGCTTTGTGTGTTTTACTAACATTCCTCAACAAATATACCAGGCTCTGCTTTGGTAACACATGCCATAAATCCAGAAAAAGGAATCTGTCAAAAACTGTATCATGGACATAAAAAACATTGTAGGGACTTCACTAATGCACAGCTACTTACACAGTATTTATGTTTATGAAAAGACCCTTGAAATTACCCAAAATATTGACTCAAATAGGCACAACTTAAAGATGCTTGTAATCTCACTGTTGTCCATATGATACCGAGCTGCAATTTCATTTCAAATAAATTAGCAATAAATGAAATTACAAAATGTGGTTTCTGTACCCAAGTGGTGGTTTTTATTGCTTTTACAATTTTGCCAAGTACATTTGCAAGATAGAGACCTGTGTACCCAGTGACAGTAAACAAGATAATTTGACATTAGGAAATTAGGTTCAGTGAAGGATATCAAGATCCTTGGAAATTTTAATTTTTGCTTTTTCTGGGTTTTTTTTTTCTGAAAAAGAATGTAATTAGTTCCTTGCTTCTGTCACCAGAGAAACATGGAAGAAGTCTTCATTTCACTGCCATTTGGAAGATGATGTAATCCACACTTTGGATTCTGATATTTGTGCAGACATTCTGAGCCACAGGGGAACCCAGCTCACAAACTTTCAAATTCACAACGTGCCCGCTGACATCATAGGCAATTATTTTATTGTTCCTTTGGCCAAATAATAGGAGAAATCTCAGACATTCAATATGACTTTACTAAATATTAACAACATCTCTGAGTATTTATAATGTATTATATTCTGGTATCACTTAAGATGCTGAAAGAGAAGGGTTTCTTTTCTAGTTTACATAAATTCTTGATTTTCATCTTCTGAGACCTTGCAGTGGACACAGATGTCTTATAATGTCATAGTCAGACAGTGGCATGAAACTAAAAGGATTTGGGTCCAGCTACTCTCATAAATTTATTTCTATGTAAATCCCCCAAATCTAATATTAGAGTAATGTTTTGATTCTGCTGTAATGTAGATACTTCAGGGAAATAATAAAACCAGGAACACTTGACTTCAACAGTCTAGTCAAAGAAAGATCATTTATTTCTTAAAGCTGGAAATGCTCCAATATATTTTAGACAAGTTTTACCAGGAGATGTCTATAAACATGAATACGTTTCCTAATCATGCTCTACAGCACAAATGTACTCTTAAAATATTTACAGAATACTAAAACTTTTAAAATTAAGGGACCAACCTTACCAACTGTTTGTTAATTGAGGATATTTAAAATAACAACAAAAATCTACTATTTACTACCCCAACATCATTTCACCTCAAACATCAACATGTCCAAGAACTAAATACTCGATCCCCTCCTGCCAACACAAACCTTTTCTCTGATGTCATTCAACTTAATGGCACCCACCATTTACCCAGAAATATTTGCTTAAGACAAATC